CTCTTTCCAACCCAAATAAGGCCAATAATTACATTCAAACCCCAGCAAGAAAATAACAACAAGAGTCATGTAGCAAAACCAAAAGGCATAGTCTTTAACTTAAGCAAAGGAAGTAGAAAAATGATATGAAAATTGAAACAAAGGGGTCAAAAAATACAAGAAAACGAAAAAAACGGTTGCATGTTATACCCATATTTATAGTATTCACTCTTTCCAACCCAAATATCGAAAATTATTGCATTCAACCCCCAGCAAGAAAACAACAACAGCAACAATAATATGGCAGAACCAAAATGCATAGACTTTGATTTAAGCAAACGAAGTAGAAAAATGATATGAAAATTGAAACAAAGGGGTCAAAAAACACAAGAATACGGAAAAAAAAAAAAAAAAAAAAAAAGTTGCATGTTGTACCCATATTTTTAATATTTCACTCTATCCAACCCAAATATCACCACTCATTACATTCAACACCCAGCAAGAAAACAACAACAATAATAATAACATGGCAGAAGCAAAAGGCAGAGTCTTTAATCAAAGCAAAGGGGAGCAGAAAAATGGGTGTTTAAAGAAATGACCTTCGGAGACGGAATTGCATTGGTTCAAAGCGTCGAGAGCGGACTCGAAGGGGTGAAAGGCGGTCAGCTGAACGACTTTGCCGAAGCGATTCAAGTCGGCGACGGAGTTACGGACGGCCTCCGTGTTCTGGCCGATCTCGTCGAGGCCGTGGGCGTTAAATAGGGCGTACCCAGAAGCCGATTCGTACAGAAGGTAAAGCGCCATGGAAGAAGAAGAAGAAGAAGCCCTAAACGCAGAGCCACAGCAACTATTAAGACTCTGCAATGAAGAAAGAAAAAGAGAGAGTGGTTTTGGCAACTAGGGTTTTGCTTTTAAGAGGGTTTATCGCTGCTTCTTCCTCTCTGTGTTATTTTATTTATTTATCGAAAGGTCCCTCTATTTATCTATTATTTTATTTATATAAAGGGCATGTTTGTTTAACCGTACTAAATCACCGTATTGCATAATAATACATTAATATAATATTTGGTGTAACCATTATATTATATAAACTAATATGGATGGTAAATTAATACGGTTTATGTCGTATTATAAAGGTCTCTCTCAATTCGCTTATTCAAATTTTTATTCGAGCTGATATGTAACTTTATGTGAGAACTATTAATTATAGTAAAAAAAGTTAGATGTGCCTTTTTATGAGAGCTTTTAATTATAATAAAATTGTAATTAAAAAATTAAATCGGTGAAATAAATAATATCAAAATACGACTCATTTTAGACGTATTGTATCATATCATTTTATAATAGATCCGTGATCCATGTTTAGATTGAGCACGATTGAAGGGCATCTTCTCCATATATATAATTATTTAAAAATTAAGGGACACAATGCCAATATAAATTTTTTGACAATAACATTTTGACCTCTAATTTTTATAAAATCACATTTTAACCCCAAAAGTTTCAAAATTAATTTTATAAACTAAAATTAGACCCAATTTTTTGAAAAACTATATTTTGAACCCCTAATTTTTTTTCAAACTTATATTTTAACCCTAAAATTTTTAAATATTTTATATCTTGACCCTTGTTCAATAGGTAATGACATTAAAAACCGTATTATAATATGACAATACAATACACCTTATATAATACAATACAAACTACAAAACATAGTCTAAGTAGAAAAACAAAATGTCTATTTATTTAGGATTAGTTTCCAGCTTAACCCCAAAGAATATGAATTGTCTCACTTTACCCCTTACAGCTTAAAATGGACAAAATTTGCTATTGAGCTTATCAAAAGTAGCAACTTCAATATTCTCATTAATGAAACGCTAATCTTTTAACAGTTTTAAACATGCATAAGTCATGTCTCTACTTAATAAAGGCGGTTACGTTTGAAATTAATCGTTATATAAAGACTTAAAGCTGGTGAAACGACATGACGTTTCTTGTGTTTGAGTGGGTGGATGGAAACGACATACCGATCAAATGGAAGACATGACCGTGAATTATAAAATGACATTTTTGCGTACTAACGATGACGTTTAGATACGCAAAACAACAATTTTTTAAACGACGATAGATCGATAAACTAAACAAAATGTCACTGTTGGGAAGGACAATAAGCTTTTCTTTTTTTAAAAAAAAAAATTATCAACAATAAGATTGTGATTTAACAAAGACTACTTTCATTTGTTATAACTTTTATAATGTGCTCCGCACGTATTTTCGTTTTAGAAACACCTAAAAGAGATTTATTGTTTACCAAATAATGAAAAATTCATTTATACAACCATTTAAGAATTTTTGAATTTATTCTAAAAGAAATATGGGTAAAAATAACAATTGACAAAAAAAAATTTTAAATAAATACACATTTAAAAAAAATTATAAAATAGGAACACATGTAAAAAATATTACTCTCTTAGAATAAAGTGAATAATAATATATTTTTAAAAAACACACAACAAATTAAAATGTACAAAAATTTACAAAAAATAAAAAAAAATAAGAAAAAAAGAGCTTTGGCTTAGTTTGGTATTGTTTTTCCCTCTAAAAATCAGCTTCTGCTTGTAGCAGAAGCTGATTTTAGTGTTTGGTAAATCTCTTTAAAAATGTTTTTTGAAGAATTTTTCAAGAATCTACAGCCAAAATCAAAAGAAGTCTAAAGACAACTTTAGCTTTTAGATGTGCGGGAATCAGCATAGTACAATAAATGAAACTTTCATAATACCCACAATACCTCTAATACAAATTAAAATTTACAATCTTCCCAATCTAAAATTCAGATTCGTAATATAATATAATATAATATAATAGTAATATTGTAACAAATAATATCATAATTATATTAATAACTCTAATATTATTATTTTATCATATAATATGATATTATAATTATTTTATAATATAATTATTTTAATAATATG